TGTGTTCTTTTCACCAGGGTGTTTCAGCAGTGCCCTTTTCTAAACAACCCCAAATTAAACTTTGCCTAAAGATAGTACCCATGGGCTAGGACCAAAGGGAACACAGTTCTGCTGAAATCAAAACAATAAGTGATCTGGAGAAAAAGTAACATGTAAAGTAGGCCAAGCTGCGTCAGCTGCAAGGAAAAGGAAGAAAGTCTTGGGAAAAATAAACGCAGAGGCTGCCATGCCTGCTGCCAATTATAAATCTATTAATCAAAAACAATAAAAGTGTTGGGCTTTTTTGGCCAGTTGCAACATGAAGTGATTTATGACTTCTCTAATAAATCTCATATTTGAAGAGGAGGAATTCTGGGGGCAGAAAGATGCATTGCTTATTGCCACCTTATTAAAACCAGAGCACAGGGCTCAACTTCCTGTTTTGCACCTAGTAAATCCTTGTGCTTTGCGCCAAGAAATTTAACATCCCTTTCTGTCCAGAGAGAGACAGGCCTGCAGTAATAGATAGAATAGGCCTAAGATTAATGCACCAGTTTGCCTGTTCGCTCTTGTTGGGGGCGGGGGGTTAAAGGAACCATCGTATTAATGCAGAGTTGCATTTTTTCCGACCGCTTTTCATTCAAGGAGGTGGTGGCATTCAAAACTCAGTGGTGAGAAAGACAAGTGTTTTTTTTACTGATAGGAAAAATGTGGTCAGATGACTTTTCCCAGCCTGTGCTTAGCTGGTGACAGAGCTGGCGGTTTGCACCGGGAGTCCCGTTCCTTCGCCTCTGGTCCTTGGCTGAGCTTCCCGGTCTGTGCTGATTTCATGTGGCTGGCGGCGGGCGCTAACCACGCTCTTCTCCAGAACCTGATCTTGCAGATGTGAGTCGTAAAAGCAGCCCCTGCGCTGAGGGCTTGCTGCTTTAAGAAATACGAGCTGCTCAGAGGAGTGAGGTGGTCTCAGTGCATTCAAGTAAAAGTGGTGATCTTTCTCAGGTTAGGTACCTCTTTGGACCAGAGTGTAATACAGAGGTCTTGTGGCCCAGCACATTAGGCTTTTTCAAGCACTGGCCCATCCTTATGCTGTGTCCATCCACTGCAGTGCCTTTTCCAAAAGGTGACTGTAGACAGGAGTTGTGGTTATTGTCTGTTGAGAAAGAATTTGCCTTAAATGGCTGACTTGTGGCCCCAAGTGTTGCCTTTGACTTTGGGACTGTAGGGCTAGATACGTTTTTGGGTCAGGAACCCTGCAATGAAGCGCTGCACTCTGTGGGGAGGGGGACCGTCCTGCTGGCCAGGTTGGAGAAAGCACATGCGCCCCGTGGCATTAACGTACCTGCAGCTGGGCTCTGCACTTCAGTCACTCCTGACTTCAGTCACTCCTGAATTTAAATGCGATTCCCCAATCTATATCTGCTGCTAAGCTATTCATGCCATGCTTTCTTCAACCATGCAATACCTGTCCCTCAAAGCCTACATTTATTCTTTGCCAGTCATTCACATATTGTGCATTTATTACAGCTGTTGGTCACGAGAAGGCAGTCTTGGAGCTGTCTAGCCCGTGGTGCTGGGTCTGACTAGTAACTGGTAGAGGTGGCATATGCGAAGGTGAAAACCAAGGCAGGTACAGAGCAGTGTGTAACAGGAGCGGCAGGGTACCACAGCCAGGTTTCTGATGGGGAGAGCAGAAAAAGCCATTCCTCTCGTCCTTCTGCTGTTGAGGCAGACGTGGCCCAGAGGGGTCAGTGTACCGTCACGCGAGAGTTCGGATCGGTCCTCCAGTAGGTCTCGGTTTGCACATTCAGGCCAGCATCTGAGCCGTTGACGCTCTCTTCCTATGGAAACGCGTGCGTGTGGGAAACGTGGACTTGAGAGGCTGCGTGAACAGGCTGTGAAGGTGGGCAGGCGAGGGAAGGGAGTCGGGGGTCGCAGGGCCAGGGTTCTTGGAAGTGATGGTTAGTGATGGATGTTGCCAGGGATGCAGCTTCTGGTAACTCAGTTATCGACCCCTGTTTATATAATAGCTGTGCCTCAGATGGACTATTCTGTAAATGAACGTCTGCCGTTGCTCCTGTAATCAGGGCTGTCTAATTCGGCTCGAGAAGAGTGGCGCGTGTTTCGAGAGCAACGCTGCACCGCAGGATTTACCCTATCAGCGCTCTGTCCATACATGCCTTGTACAAATTACTCTGTTTTAAAGCTGTCATTATGGTAATAGACCCAATTGCTGTCTAGTAAAGCCATAAAATGTTTCCATCTGCCTGTGTGCTCCAGGCTCCCTAGCAAGGCTCATTACAACAAAAACCAGGGTTGCTGCAGCCAGAGGTTTCCCAAGCTCAGCGTGAGTAGCAGCGCGGAGGCCGAGCGCGGAGGGCTCCTGCGCAGCCCTGGGGCCGTGTGCTTCTCCCGCACAGCCCGAGCGCTCCAAGCAGTCTTGCTCTCCCAGGGCAATCCCACTGCGCAAAAGCTCCTCGCTGGGACCGTGATGAGTTAGGCTGCCACGGCTGGAAAGCCAAGGGCAGCGGTGTCCCCCCGCCGCTCATCCGGAGCGTGTCGCCGGGGATCGGCGGGGGCGTGCCTAATAGGTTCAAGGCTAACGTTTAATCCTTGCTTACAACTAAGGAAGCCTGTAATCCTCTGGGACGATACATTGGTCTGTCCTGAAGATAATAAACCAACTCTGAGCTTAGAAGTGTCAAGCAATTGGCTTTGCATTAGTTTCCTGTGCACTTGCAAGGACTATAGGATCAGGCACCTAAGAAGTCCTTGAGGCTGAACGTGCAGCCGTTTCTGCCCCCTCCCCGCTCGCCCCTGCTTCGCGTTTGTATATGTTTTTTGCACTGAGCCGCTGTAGTGAGCGGCGTTGCTGCTGCGGGGGGGGAGCACCTGGCCGAGAGAGCGGGCCCGTGCCTCAGT